GTGACCACCGCCGCAGTTTGCACATTTGATAGTGTCTGTGCACTCAGTGCTATCATGGGTCTTACTGCAGCGGGAGCAAACTTGAGTATGACGACAGGATTTGGCTCCATGGCCAAATTGCTGACATTTAAAACAACGGAGTGGATTCGGTATATATACATCCACTCCGATGTTGAAATAACCGGCTTTAACAGAGGAAGGAAGCTTAGTGAGATTAAACGTGAAAAGGTAAGTTGTTGTTTTGATGATGTTGTCACCATCTTTCCTCGTGAACCGTTTAACAGAAGATACACCTTGAGGCTTCATTTCTGCAACAATCTCTTCTTCAGACATGTCCGATAGGCATTTTGCGCGGTCACGTACAATGCCTCTACAAGAGTTGAGTGTTTTGTGCTCAGAGACAACAATCTCTGTATTTGCAAAATGTTGAGCTTTGAGTAGATTCAGAGATTGCTGTCTCCTTACACATTCCACAAGCAGGGAACCGGACCGGAGACGAGTGACATTTTTGACAGTACCACAAATACCTTCAATAGACTTTGAAATGACAAAGGGGTTGAGTTTCAGGGGCTGACCATCAACTCCTTCCACAACAAGAAATCGCGGCCAAGAATCGATATTGGGTACAGTATCTTCATCAGAAGATAGTGCAATATCTGAGTCTATATGCCTCCTTTTAGTTGTAGATCTAGAACCAGAGTGTAGGGGAGTAGCCATGATGAAAGAAAGATTTTCGACAACCCTGCTCCCCACCCGCCATGGAGTGTCAACAAGGACAGTGATGTAGTGGAAACCGACTACAAACACCAGGGCTACAGGGGTGCTATACTCCAGCAAAAAGGACACAGGTAGCTATTATTGTCAAACAGGGTTAAAAGTCAGACTGGTTCCGCCCAAGACAGTTATCTGATGACAAATAGAACCCGGAGGTCAATAATGCCAGATTGGCCCATGAGCCACCGCCTTCTGGCGTAAGACTCTAGGCAATTTACTCAATCCAAACTTGAGAATACACACAAGTAATGTACCGCCAAGACCAAAATAAACAGTAAAATACAACACAGTTGTGCATATACAATATTACGCACAGGGCCTTGCATGACCAGCCGATTGATAAGACCGGGCCCATCTTACCACCCGTCTAGGCGAAGTAAGGGTCGAAGTAGTGTGTTGGGCAAAGGAACACAGTTCCAGGAACCAGTGCCCTCAACTACCAGACTCCCGTCCTCCGCCGACACAGGGACGCAACCCACGGCAAACGGGCTGCCCACTTTGGTCGCCTCTTACGACCAGCAATGGGGTGCTGTGGAAATATTCTACCCCGGTTCCACACGAGGGAAGAGCTATTAGCGCTACCCAGCACTCACCACGAGGAGGTTGCTCTTCACGAGTGCCGACATTGCAAATAAGCTTGGAGAAACGTTAGCAAAACATTCTTCAACATCAAATTATGTCCCGGAGTTTCAAAAAATTAAGAAACAACAGGAAAAGATCAAAGTAAATTTCACTTCTGATAATGGTGAAGACTATAATGAAGTCTTCTCATTTCATGAGCTACACACCGCCCTTGAGCAAGCTCATGACACAGCAACGGGTGCTGACAACATACATTATCAGCTTTTAAAACATTTACCTAAATCCTGTCTGGAGACACTTTTAGATATATTTGATCAAATATGGATATATGGGAATTTTCCTCCTTCATGGCATAATGCTATTGTAGTTCCAATACCAAAGCCTGGCCGGGATCATACAGATCCCTCTAACTATAGACCTATATCCTTAACAAGTTGCGTGTGTAAAACCATGGAACGAATGGTGAATAATAGATTAATTTGGTATCTGGAAACCAATAATCTAATTACAAATATCCAATGTGGTTTCCGAAAAAATCGAAGTACTATCGACCATTTAGTACGCTTAGAATCCTTTGTGAAAAATGCTATTGTAAACAAACAGCATGTAGTGTCAGTCTTTTTCGATCTTGAAAAGGCCTATGATACTACTTGGAAGCACGGCATTCTAAAGGATTTACATGATTTTGGTTTGAGAGGCCGTTTGCCTCATTTTATATCACAGTTTTTAACTGACAGACAATTTCAAGTCCGAGTGGGTTCAACCCTGTCTGACCATTATACTCAGGATCAGGGTGTCCCACAAGGCAGTATTTTGTCTGTAACATTATTTAGTATCAAGATAAACAGTCTGTCAAAAGTTTTGAATGATTCCGTTGATGGGTCGTTATTTGTGGACGATTTTAACATTTCTTGTCGCGGGAAAAACATGAACACTATTGAAAGACAATTGCAGTTGTGTCTCAATAAAATCCAAAAATGGTCGCTTGCTAACGGCTTTAAATTTTCTAAAACAAAAACTAATTGTATACACTTCTGCAGGAAATATAGACAGCACAAGGACCCAGAACTATTTCTATCTGACACACCCATAAAGGTAGTTGAGGAGACTTAAGTTCTTGGGGCTTATTTTTGACCGCCACCTGACATTCTTGCCACATATAAAATATCTCAAGGCAAAATGCCTAAAAGCATTAGACTTACTGAAAGTCGTCTCAAACTCTAAGTGGGGCGGGGATCAGACAACCCTTCTCCATTTATACAGATCTTTGATCCGCTCAAAATTAGACTACGGTTCCATCATTTATGGTGGAGCCTGTAAAAGTCACTTACAAAAACTGGACTCAATTCATCACCAGGGCTTGAGGCTCTGTCTTGGAGCTTTCAGGACCTCTCCTGTTGACAGTCTCTATGTGGAGGCTGATGAGCCTTCATTAAAACAACGCCGTTTAAAACTTGCTTTACAATATATCACAAAATTAAAATCAAATCCGTCTAATCCAGCCTATGATTGCATATTTAATCCTCCCTACGAGGACTTATTCCATACAAAACCGAAGCTTGTTCCTCCACTAGGGATTAGAATAAAAACTCATGTAACAGCAGCAAATATTGATCTTGATTTTGTTGCACCGTACCGTTTACTGTCTACCCCTCCTTGGCAACTAGTCCACCCCGTTGTAGACCTCACACTTACTAATTTTAAAAAATCAGACACAAATCCGTTAGTCTTTCAGCAAGAATATCTCCAGTTGAGATCAAAGTACGATTCTCACCGCTCCATTTTCACTGATGGATCCAAGGATGGTGGCAAAGTTGCCAGTGCTACCATCGTTGGATCAAAAACTATTTCTTCCAGATTACCAAACAATTGTTCTATCTTTACTGCTGAGGCCAAGGCTATTCAAACAGCTTTGGAATATATTCAGACACAAAATATCTGCAAAAACTTCATCATCCTCTCTGATTCTTTGTCATGCCTACAGGCATTAAAAAATGTCCGCTCAAATCATCCACTCACTCTTGATATTTTAGAATTACACAATACTCTTGCCACTGGCCAATACGACATCGTCTATTGCTGGTTACCCAGTCATGTTGGAATCACGGGTAACACTATGGCTGATGCTGCTGCAAAAGCAGCTCTCAACAAATCTGTGACCCCACTTCTTATACCATACAGCGACTACAAACCATTAATTAGATGCTATATCAAAGTCCTTATGCAAAAGAAGTGGGACACCCAAGTAGGTACAAATAAATTACATGCACTAAAACCAACTATCGGTTACACCTACTTGGGTTGTCAGTCCAGATTTGAGGAGGTCATTTTACGACGATGTCGTATTGGCCATAGCAGATACACTAACGAATATTTGTTGAAAGGTGAAGATCCTCCATTTTGCATCCCTTGTGATGAGAGAATCACGGTCAAGCATGTCCTGCTTGACTGCATTGATTTTTCCATCACAAGGGATAAATATTTCAAAATTACATCCATAAAGGATCTTTTTAATCAAATCAGTGCTCCTTTAATCATCGGTTTTTTAAAAGAAATAGAATTAATAGATAAATTTTGATTATAATATGTACAGTATAAAGTAAATGATTTTTAATTTGGTGGAATGAAATCATAACTGAGATTGCTAGTGGCTGTTCACAGGGGGTTGAAGTATCGTAAAATAATTGTCCCCCTGGGAAGGTACGTAAGTCCAGTATCATTCAAGGTATCATTTCCTTTCTCTGTGATTTTAATCGTAGTATTTTTGTTGATTTTAACTCTTTGGCTAATCTGTCTGATAATCGCCAGTGCCCAGAGGGATGGTGTAAATCCTGCTGGGGTACCATGTAGGTAGCAGAAGTACCGTAAGTCCCCATGGTCCCTAGTATGGTGGCCTAACTTTGGTTGCTGGCGATCTACAGCCCGTTTTTATATTGTATTGTTTGAATTGTATCTGATTATTTTATTGCTCTAAAACTAGTTTTAAAATTATAATCTGTGATATATTGCTGGTTGTTGTACTGTCCTTCGATGACAGCTTTTAATATATAATATCAATGCCTAACTTGTTCAAGTCACGATATGGCTGAAATACTCCCGATGTGACTTTAAATATTAACTCACTCACTCACTCACTCACGTAAATGGACGTAACGAGAACAAATTCGAACATTTCAAGTTTTTTTAAATAACGACAAAATAATCGAAATTACGAGAAAATAATCGAAATAACGAGAAATCACTCGACATTACCAGATAATAATTAATATAAAGACAATTTAATCGAAGAAAAGAGACAAAGCCCTTTTCATCTTCATAAGAAATCCGAGCCAATCGCACAGTCGATAGTACGATTCCGACTGTATCATGAGTTTGTGTTTATGAATCACTATCAAATAGGGGCGGTAGGGTTGCCTTGTGGCTAAAGCGTTCGTTCGTCACGCTGAAGGTTGCAGGAATGGGTCTAAATACAACATTTTCAGGTTGTTGTGGACACTATCGGAAAACAGAAGGTTCATCCATACATTCTACTGTTCCAACACAAGGTTCGGTTAAATTAACAACACATCATAATCTGGAGGATATTTTAATTATTCACACTAAGTGCTGACTTCAAGTCAATCCAACATGACTGATAAGCATGTCACTTCAGTTTGCAGTCAGCAGGCAGTCCATGATGACGACACCACCAGTACAAGCGAGGTCTCACTCAGCAGAAGTTCAGTAAAGGATTGGACATGTAAATATGCATCGTGGAAAGACGGCCCTGGTAACTGAGGCATTCGGGAACAGGATCCATAAATTCCTGAACAACGAAGTGTACGTATGTTACCACAGATACTGATCAATGTAAGTTACGGATGTAACTTAAAATCACACTTTTCACAAACTTATACATGTACATGGATTGTGATCAGTCTTCACTGTGGACTTGGATCCCGTAACAATGTTTTTGATTGTCTGTTTGCTGTTTAACGCCACAATCAGCAATATTCCAGCTACATGACGGCGGTCTGGAAATAAAATCGAGTCTGGACCAGACAATCCAGTGATTTACATCATGAGCATCGATCTACGCAATTGGGATCGATGACATGCATCAACCAAGTCAGCGAGCCTGATCACCCGATCCCATTGGTCGCCTTTTACGGCGAGCATAGATTGCTGAAGACCAATTCTAACCCGTATATTCACGGGTACCGTAACGGTTCAAGTCCCATTGATTGTGGTTCGAAATCCCAGCTTTTATCGTTCACACTCGTGCTCATTGATTTAACTCTAGTGGCACACCTCGAAGTGCTTCGTCATTTCGAATGGCAGTTAGGTTAGGTTGAGAAGTCTCATTGAAAGCGTTTGTTTTCATGCCGTGTTCGATTCCCAACATGCGTATTAGTGTGAAGTGCGTTCTTGATATTTCGGCAATGATATTACTTGAGCCTTGTTAAAACGGCCCAGAAGCCTACTCGTTCACTGACAGCACTAGTTGCCATCCACACCAAGGCTGCACATCTTGATCAAACTGACAGTAAGCTGAAATAGGTATTACACCGACTCACTTCAAGTTAGCAACACCCACTCACTGCTAGTAAGCAAAACTTACCTCAAAAGTCGACGAGTCGGGATGTTCATAGCGGGGGGAAGGCAGGTCTGTGCCGAAAGCCCAGCCCAAACCGTCAAGTTTATTATTATTGTACAACAGGAACATTGGGAAGAAGTCATCACAGCTCATGTCCTTCTGTATGTTGTACCAATAGTGCACTCCTGCAAAAAGTGCAATGGTGTTACATAGGTCTATAGTTTTGTGGCGGCATAAATATATTTGTAGTAATTGTCAGTGGCTCTAAATGATGAAACTAATGATAAAACGTTTCCAAGTGCTTTGCTGGTCAGATTTAACCCTCAGTCAACAGAAATGAATGGGGCTTTTCAGAATGTTTTTGTACTGTAATTAGAGTAATCTGCCCTTTCTGGGTGGGACCGTTTCTAACGGCTGACTGTACCAATATAGCAGCGACAAGAGGGCGATCTGGAAACCTATTTGGAAACACCGAATTTCTGCCAACATCAAACACAATTCGTGATTAAAGACAGGGTTCTTTCAAGTCATTCAACAGTGAAAATATTCTGAACATTCGAATGGAGCCGACTATTTGGGCTGGGGATTTGTACGGCGATTGGATATTTTTCAGCTACAGCTGCAAAACCAGTCCTTTTTTCATCAAAACGATGAGCCTAAATAAATATAAATTGTAAAAACATCTTGCAACAATGTTTTTTTGTGGATCACAATTTCTTATTTTTTCACAAGTCTGAAGCATACTTTTTGCATTCAAGCTTTTTCTCGGACGTTTTTGTTTCGTATAAAATCACAGCACTTGTTGCATGCAAAATTATACAACCCACAAAATCCGTCTGATTTGAATAAATCTATTAACGACATTTATGTCGATTGTAGGGATGTATAGGATATGTAATCCCTGTGCAAAGGAAGGGAGCAATTAGCATAAAATGTGGTGGTCCAATGTAAACTTACCCATTCCGAAAAAAACATTTTCCATTACCCCATCCGCTTCCCGCTCCGTCGACATCGTTCATTGGGATATTGATGACGTTCCTCGGTGTGGAGCCATTTTGAATCAGCAGCTGTGTTCCTGTTCCTTCAGATGAGAACATTTCAGCCGTCCGGCCAACGCTGCAAATGGCACCTGTTAAAATAGTGAGTATGGTTTTATGCCACTTTTAGCAATATTCAAGAATATCACTGCAGGGGACATCAGAAATAGGCTTCACACATTGTATCCATGTCGGGAATCGAACCCGGGTCTTTGGCGTGACGACCGGTCCAAAAGACATATGTTCAAATAATCCATAGTATCCCCGACTCAACTTTACATGTGCTAACTAATGTTGTAAGTGTAACATGTTTTAATTATCCATAACGTCCACGACGCAACTGTACATGTGCTGATTAATTTTGCAAATGGCACCTGTTAAAATAATCCATAATATCCACGACTGATATTTACATGTGCTAATTAATGCTGCGGGTGTCCAAATCAAACCATAAGTCTCTTTTTCATATAAAGATATGACATGGTCGTACTAGAACATAGTTTCTCTCCAGAGTAATAACGATGTACTGTCAGTTAAACTGTACCAGTTACGCTGAAAATATGTTCTAATTCTACGAACAAAAGTAGATGAGACAACCTTTTAAGAAATGTTCGTGTCGTAATTGGATATTTTGTAGCGCAAAGACTCACGTCTTACTTATAAGTAATATGATAATGTGCGTGGTGGGAGGCGTTAATAAAATCCTCGATTCATGGTAATTGAGAGTAGGTTACGCTTGAAAACCAGTTTATATTAGTCGACAAACGTCATTTTCAACGCTTGTTGCAATTGGTTGTGAAAAAAGCACCGTACGCAGTTATTTACATCAAACCGTCCACACAAAATAAGCGATACAATTTTCCACTGAAATAACAAAGCTTCAGGCACCGTCAACGCTGAGAGGACGTTTTGGTTTTGTATGGTGGGTATACGTAATACGTGTCCCGTATGCACTTTAAACATTACAATATACAATCATCAGAATTATATTCACGACAAGAACACACGTTAATAACCAGCACTTAATGAGGAAAGTCACTTTAAATGTTCGAAGCGAATGGTAGAAGACGTTTTTGACGAATTCACTTTGTTCCCTATGGTGTGTTTGTAATTTAGGGAGGGGAGGTAATTCTCATTACTGGAGAGAACTACCGTGTGTTTGCCTTATATGAGTTCACGGGTGTTAGTTTTGAAACAACCACATCAAGTAAATCTGTTTGTTACAACGATATATTTTGAATACGCTGTCATCTTGTTGATGACTGGAATTATATCAAGATTACTATGACAACTAGTGTGAATACTATCACCGCGAATATTTCAACATATGATCACTCACTCCTCACTTTTGGTTGATCACACGCACACATTCTTTATATAGAAGGTGTTTTAGATTTATAAAGAAATGAACAATATAAATCTCCGATCATTTATTTGTTTTGTTTGAGCAACTGTTTGGGATCCAGTACACCTGTTTTATTTTTTTATGTTTAGTGTCACTGTGTGCTCAATCACATGCATATTCTGACGTTTTCTCAAAAAACACATTTGACCTGTATTTCATTGTGCCTTATGAAGTGTTTTTATCAGACAGGATGACTCCAACACTGCGTCGACGAAAGGCTGGACTTTTATACAGATCTAACTATGAAGGCCAGTCCCTTGCTACCTCGTAACCGCAGATATAATGGAGAAAACTCCAGCTCTTTGATGTCAGAATAATAGAGACCAAACAAGAAGGATCAGTAACCAAGTACAAAGTTCACTGCATTGGCTGGCTCTCCAAGTATGACCAATGGGTTGAGGACTCAAACATTGAAACAAGGTCAAGCCTGGAGAAGACAGTCTTACAGGACATTTTCATCAAGGACAACCTCACATTTTCACGTGGTGTAGATTATTTGGTTTTCTGTCAACAAAAACACTTCAATCGAAGACTGGACAACTCTACAGGAGTGAATTCACCTTCGTTGATGAACACTCACCAGACATCCTCTTTGGACAGGACTGGTGACTTCGACTATATCAACAGGGAAACTGTCCGCTTTGGATACTAGGAGAGAAAACCCCGTGAAGCGTACACAACTGACATGAAATGAAAATTGGTACATCGCGGATTTATCTTCTTCGTGCAGTTTGTGAGGGAGAAAGGAAACATGATTCAACAAACATCATCTTGTTAGCTCATTTGTTTTGTTTGACAAAGTAGCACCTGTCCTACAGTCTTACTTAAAGAAACTAGTAGCAAAGACTTAGAGAGAGAGAGAGGGGGGGGGGGGTGGGGGGGGGGGGGTGTTTAAACATCTACTTGTAACCTGGGAAAATGAATTCTATGATCTCAAAGTGTGTTTTTTTCTGAACTTAAAAAAGGAGTATTTTCGCAAATATGGATCAGTGATCAGGTAGGCTAAAATCCAAAATTGTGACGAATGTTGTCTACAAAACGAAAATACTTTGTCCAGATCACAGCGTTACAAACGAAAACACATGTTGTAGAAGACTGTAAAAAAGCCTTGGCTTTCATAAACATTTATGAACTAGACCCAGTAAGGGCAGATGGTGTTTAGTTTTATGGTGTTTAACTGAAAATACTGTAACCAGTGATAAGGAAAATATTGACACCAATTTAGATAGACTTTTGCATGTCAAAGATACGCAAAATATTTCGACAAATCATATCATGAGTTATCACTGACAATACTGTTTTTACCAAGGTCACATGTTTTGTCTCAAAAGATGAAAGAATACAATGATACTTTCAAAATAGTTAACACTCCAGATCATAGTTTTGGTGTACAGAAACTCCTGAAAGATATAATAGTGAGTGTGTGTCACACATTTTGTAAACAGGGGCTAAAGAGAAGTGACCACGACGCAACATTACACGTACCAATTGATTTTGCAAATGGCACCTGTTAAAATAATCCATGATATCCACTATTCAACTTTACATATGCTAATTAATGCTGCGAGTGTCACCTGTTTTAATAATCAATAATATCCTCGACTCAGCTTTGTACATATCTGCTCAGAGCATTTCACAACGTATATGGCAAATTGATGATACAGAGGTGGCGTTTGTGACGTGAATGTTTGTGATCGTCATGGTTCAAATAATAAATTTGAAACGATTGACGAAAATTAGGCCACGCCCACTATCTGATAACTGTTTCCTGATTTGTTGACAATAGAATGGGCTGGACTTGTGTTGAAATATTGCTATGTCTATTGTTATTTTTGTGTAAGTCATTAAAAAGCAATCTGTGAAGTTTTAACTGTTGACGTAATTTATTAATAGTATGCACAATGCACAGTTTGCTCACCGTTGTTTTTACGTTTGTACTTGCATAAACGCAAAAACTATTTAAGTCAATAAGTAATATACAGCAATATATGAAAAGGAGAGTATTGATCAACAGTACTAGCAACACTTCCGATTCGCTAAGCGTCGACTATCGCAACTTTATAATTTAACCGTTGGGGTAGAGTAGTCTACTGGTTAGAGCGTTGGATCGTTACGTTGAAGACCAGGATTTGAATGGTAAAATGTGTGAAGTCAATTTGTGATGACCTGCGGTGAAACGTCAAGAACAGTGTCTTGCGCTGAAATAGGGTGAATTATTATACCGAACTTTGGTAGTGGCCCGGATGTGTGTGTGTGTGTGTGCGTGTGCGTGTGCGTGTGCGTGCGCGCGCTTGTCGGTTTATGGTACTAGTCCATTGAGGTAACATGCCGCAGTTTAACACGTATGCGCTACTCGAACACAGTTTACTGACTCGAGCCGAGCAGTCCTTGTTTTATCCCCTCAATACCTAACGGCAGGAAGGGTAACAACAAATAACATCTTTTAACGTCTTTTGGTTGGAGGCGGCAGGGATCGAACCACCGACCTCCTTCTCTCCGGGCATCCGCTCTATACACAAGGAGTTGGTCAGTTCCAAAACTCTGTATGGTCGATGTACTAGTATATGTGGTTATGTCCAACTAACTCACACAACCCCCCACCCACAACATCACCACCAGTCCAAAACACCCACACCCTCAGTCCCTTACTTGGGTCAGTGAAGTAGGCTGTAATGAAGCAGTAGTCTCTGTCCGTCACAAAGGGGTTGTTCATTATACGTGCAAATGAATAGCCGTTATGTTGACCAGTGGGAATCTGGAAGAAGCATTTTCGTTGCTATTCTGTTTCAGCCACCCATAAGCCCGTGAAGCTACGGGGTAGAATAGGTCTTCAGCAACCCATACTTGCCATAAAAGGCGACTGTGCATGTCGTAAGAGGCAACTAACGGGATCGGGTGGTCAGGCTCGCTGACTTGGTTGATACATGTCATCGTATCCAAATTATCGATGCTCATGATGTCACCCACTGGATATTCTGGTCCAGACTCGATTATTTACAGACCGCCATCATATTGCTGGAGTGAGTGAGTGAGTGAGTTGGGTTTAACGCCGCTATTAACATTATTCCAGTCATATCGCGGCGTGTCAGCTTAATGTGGGAGGAAAGCCCGAAGTGATGCAGGTCTCAGACGTTGACCACTTTGGTGAAACCCACGAGCACGGGTATGGTGCTGACAAACCTAGAAACATAATCGGGGCGAACCGGGAATCGAACCCACAATCATAGGTTTCTGGCGTGCCAAGGGACGCAACTCTGCTCAGCGAATCGCGGCGCCTTAGGCGACTGGGCCACCCGTGCCCCCTCATATTGCTGGAATATGGAGTGCGGCGTTAACAACAAACAAACCAAAACAACCAATCAACCACCCACGTGTCTACGTTTGTTTTGAATGCCGCAATATTCCAGCATTGTTAGGGTGTCCTGTAAACACTCACGGCCGGACACGACAAACCAATTATTGATATTTTGAGCTATGTTCCACACCGCTGCCGTACGGTGACACTCAATCAACCAAGTCACCGAACCTGACGGCGGATCCATATTGTCGCCTCGCGCTACAGGCATTAGATAGAGGGCCTATTCTAAACCGGAATCCGACCCGTGAAGAACCGGGATAGAATAGCTCTTCAGCAACCCATTCTTGGCGTAAAAGGCGACTATGCTTGTCGTAAGAGGCGACTAACGGGATCGGGTGGTCGGGCTCGCTGACTTGGTTGATGCATAATTTCAATCCCAATTGTGTGGATTGATCCTCATCATATCGATCACTGGATTGTCTGGTCCAGACTCGATTACTTACAGACCGCCGTCATACAGCTGGAATATTGCTGAGTGCGGCGTTTAACAACAACCTAAACCGGAATCCACATGGAGCTATTTTCAATGTTTCTACGTATGTGCCCACACCCAGGGATATGATATTAGCACCTACCCCTGCCTGTAGGCCAGCGATGTAGCCATTCACGTCGAAGATGAGGATGACAGCTGTGTCTCCGTCCTTGGCATAGCGCTTACCAGCAAACTTAGAGTTCTCTGAAACAACATACATGTATTGTACAGGAAATGTGGCAGATTAAAATACATATATAATGATGCAATGACATTATTATGGTCCTGGTGTCGGTATTGATCATGACATCTTTTGTCGAAAGGGTAAACAAAAATGCTGGGATAAAAACATTTTTGCCAAGAAATGAGTTGAGTTGAGTTGGGTTTAACGCCGCTTTTAACAGTATTCCAGTCATATCACGGCGTGTCAGCTTAATGTGGGAGGAAAGCCCGAAGTGATGCAGGTCTCAGACGTTTACCACTTCGGTGAAACCCACGAGCACGGGTATGGTGCTGACAGCCAAGAAATGAATTTTAGTTCTTGGATGTACTATAATGTATTGGTACATTTGCCGCTTAATAATAGCTCAATATCAATCTATGCTCGACAGAGGACATGAGTCGTAAAAAGCTGTCCATCTTTCCGACGACCTATTTTTTTTTACCTCCAACTACAGAACCTTGGCTCAGTTTCTTCATGTAGATGAAGACAGTAGGTACTTTTTGATTCAATGACCGATTAGGGCTGATGTTTGCGACAGTCATAACATGTCTTATTTTGGAAACGATAACGATATAATGAAGTTAATTAAGTATGTCTAGACATATACTAATATTAATAATTATGATTACTTTATATAGGAATAATACAATATTTCACACTGCGAAAGAAATTACTACTTATAATAAAAACTGAGACCTGGGATTCGGGCCAGAGGCCATATATCTCTTACACGTCAAACGAACGCACGTTCCCAGACAAACGAATTGCGACGTCTGATAGACCTTGGCAACACGTGCCAGTGGTGGTGATGATGATGGCGAAATAGCATTTTTCATATATTTTGTCAAAATTTGATGAAAACCTCCACAGTTTGAGATGAGAGAGTATCCGTCCTCGATTACGCCCGACTCTGTTCTCGGAAGTTTGGCGAAGACGTTTGAGCTCAATATATTTAGTCCAAATGTGACTGAAAGAAAAGAGGGAAACAAGGTATGGACAACATCAAGTATAATTAATAACTGTATGTGCATATTTCGTGTTATTATCAACAGTACTAACATGGCAATACAGGATTCCGTTTGTAAAATCCTAAACAGTGAAACCACTTCAACGAAGTTCGAGATCTTGTCCGTTTTGATAAATCCAATAAAATCATTTATATTGTTGAATTTTTTCTGTCTCTTTTGACACTAATGTGATTGAAAAGATTCAGGAAAACATGGCAAATATGCAGACCTCGCTTTCGAAATGTACGCTTGCACCCCATATACAAAGTTGTCCGACTCCTTAGCTTTGGTACCTCCCAATCTGTTGTCTGACATTAGGAGAGTGCCCTGGTTTGCTACCAGGAATACAGCCCTTCTGTAAATAATAATAATAATAATATTAATAATAATGAGACTATCCAGGAGATTGTCAGTGGATGCCCAGCTTTGGCATAAACACAGTATCCTAAGCGACATGATGGAATGGCTCGATCACTTTGTTACCGTCTTCGCCCTTCTTGTGGTTTTGACACAGAGGTCCATCTATGGTACGAACCAGAATATGTAGAGGGCGTCATGGAAAATGAAAAATACAAAATTCTTTGGAATAGGCCTGTATACAGCCTCAGGCGTATCCAGGCCAACAAACCTGATCTTGTCCTTTTTGATAAATCCAATGAAATCATTTATGCCATCGATTTTTCTGTCCCTTTTGACAAAACTGTGATTGACAAGACTGAGGAAACACATGGCAATAATGCGGACCTGGCTTTCTAAATGTCACGCTTGCATCCAAAGTACGAGGTTGTCAGACTCCCCATTGTTCTCGATCAGTGCCTTAGGTTGATTGACAGAATCTGACAATCGGGGCTGCCTGTAGAGGGGGGGCAAGGGCCCTGATCTGATCGGTGATGAGCCTAACCAGCCTGACCTTTGCTGCATTTAATTTATTTAATCCGTACATAATAATAATTGTCAGCGCTTCCTGGGAGATATCCCGCTCGCTGCATGTGGAGGGGGCAAAGGCCCTAAGATAATAATGAGCCTAACCAGCCGGACTGCCAGGATCACCCTAACCCTCTTTGTTGCATTTATGTATTTTAATCTGTATAATAATAATGGCGATAATAATACTAATCTACATGTAACCCACTCTCATTAATTAAATGCTGCTCTTTTCCAGCGTCACGGCTATGGACCTGAGACAAAGAGTCCCAGCCATCATAAAGTAATTAGGGTCCAATATAAACAATGCTCCGCCATACCTCATCACGGAAAGTCGTACTACAGACGGTTAATGTCAAATCACAATTAAAGCATTTGAATGGCAATAACATTTTCCAGGACCATGTATTCTCTTAAGACCATCGCATTTAGAAGCAATAGTCGTATAAAACAAGACAGATCTATTTAATCACAACAGTCCTCATGTTATTCCCACGTCTAAAAAGGAGACATTAGCAAATACATGTGCATTATCATTTTTCGTCAGGATAACAGAAATTTCTCTCCTTGTTACCACATGCAAGTTCAGCTTTACATGGGTCCTCCTTTGGTCAAAAGTTTGTTCCCCCTCTAATGAGTGTGTCACGCGTTGCACACGAGTAACGAACGGGGTGCACACCCGTGTGCAACGCGTTGCACACGGGTATCACACGCGTGGCGGACGGGTTCCACACGAATGACCAACGGGTTGCACACGGGTTGCGTAACGCGGTGCCCATGCGTGTAAGGGGAATGAACTAGGCAGTAGTGTATATATAAATAAATAAATAAAATAAGATAAATGAAAAATAATCACAAAACCACTATAATGTATTATAATATATATATATAATTCAGAAAGAAGCTGTATGCTTATATTTACGCAAATAAGCTAATTCAAGTTGGTTTCAATATAGATTCGATCATTTAAAACAGCAGCTTTAACAAATACCTTGTTACCTTAAGTTAGCATGGCACCTACCACACTCCTCGTGATTCACCCTAAAACGGTTCGTTCTGTTCACAATCTGTACCATGAGACATGACATTCGAGGTCCTGTTATTTGTTCCAAGGCAGGAAACAGAGCCGCGTTCAAGAAAACCCTTGCCGGGTTTTCATTCTGATTGTGGTCACTTTACCATAGATTGACCCCGAAAGGTAACTCAACAGTTGTCTCTTAATTAGGTTGGCAGTGTAGCACGGGTCCATGTCCCGGACATGTTAACCCAAAAGGCTCTGTTGCTTGAGTGGCACTAAATGCAACAGGGACAATTAGCATAGTTATAATAATCCCCATGCTACTCTGATTAGCCATCATGTAAGCCATCCTGGAAGCCATCACGTGCTGAAAAGGGTCAAAATTGGAGGCAATTTTGTTCACCGACTTCATACGGAAATGTCCGATGTTGTACAAATGCTAAGCTCATAGCAGTGCTTGGTAATAATTTATGATAGTCACAAATTACCCTGTATGGAGCTGATAAAACCTCCAAAATTCTGCACAGCGTGATCATTCAGTAAAGTAATTGCCTGTGTGGAGTTTATCTAAACATGACCTTCACTCAAAAGCTCCCAACAGCATCTGACTGCGATACTGTCATGATGTCAACACTGCAAGGAATTTAGTCAAGTTAGTATAACTGTCCCATCCAAGAAAATGAACATAAACATGGTGAAAAGAGACACGAAACTGTTTTTTTTAATACCAAATAACAGAAGTTATTTTTTTAACATAGAGAAAGGACAGCTTAGTGAACCTATCAGATATAGTTGAATACTAGTGAGATAGCCGATTGCTCACTTTCCATTTCCTTGGAAACAAGTGCCTACTATTTATAATATCAACAGAAGATACACGTTTTTCATCTAACATGTCTAATGTGATGTATCAGGCTTTAGCCACAATATACACATGAAAATATTACTGAACTCATCACATATTTATCACTATGTCCTTTTCCATTGTTTAAGTACCGTGTTTTACATGATTAATACTTGCACAGACTCTTACAAAATATGCACATTATTAATGAATATTTTAATTATTAATGACATTGACAGTTCATACGAAAAATGGCTAGTTGTGAAAGCTGAATAACTTTTATGCTTTCACATGGTCAAAATTTGGACGGCATGTTGATACTTTTCTTTTCGTTTTGATGTAAAGTATGCTCTGTTCATCTATCCTGTATCCTGATAACGAAACCGATGAGCCCCATGAAAGTCTATCGGCTGATTTTTGTCACTTAGGTACTGGTTGCAGTTGTCAACGATCTGTTCATGGTCCAGTTCCCGGAAAACATCATCGAAATACTAGTCAACCTCAGTAGTAGTACTGCTGGGTATGAGGCAAGTATGCTGGTGTTGGGAAGGATGATTTGTCATACATCCAGGACATTCAATACCTTCTACTTCCTTCGTTATTGCATCTTTAATGGCTCTGATATAAAACACATCCAGAATGTCCTCATATGCTAACCTAAGATTTCTAAGTGCTTCTTTTCTTGGTGTCTCCAACGTGTAGGACCGTCTCCCAAAACACAATGTGTGAGGTCCTTCGGTTGCAGAGAATCTTGCTGAAGTTAACAATTTCATGCCCGCTACGTGACAACCTGAAGTGGATGTGTATAACCGTTTGGAACGGTAAACCACCTATTTTCTCCTGTTTCTTATGGTAAAATGATATCGAAGAACTTTCAACATGGCAGCTGAAATCAATGAAAATGATTTCTATTGAGAAATATATTTCTGTTTTTTGTTTTTTGGTGTTTTTTTTCAATGTAAATGGTTTTAATTGTAAACGGTTTATGACTTAAAGTTTTTGTATTTAATATAAAAACTTTATGATGAACTAACATTTCGTTCGCTTGTGACAACTTTTTTGCATGTATCTTTTAAAAGAAAAAAAGAATGATATATGTATGTACCTTTTTTTTGTTTTTGTTTTGGGTTTTGACTGCTTCTTCCGACAGATTGTCATTGACATCATAACAAAAAAAACCACAGAGTGAGTATTGTTTTGTTTTGTTTTTGGTATGTATTGATTAAAAAACCAAGCCAAAAACATCAACATTAAAACCAGTAGGTCCAAGCCACGACAACCTACAGAATTTCATCATTCTCATCTTTAGGAA